AACTCTTCACTCCACACCCACCTTCTGCTGTTCCTCTAACCCACCAGCTTATTCCCACCTCAGGGCCTTTGTACCTGCTGTTCCTTCTGTCTGGTGTGCTACCTCCCAAGCTCTCTCCTGGTCAGCGCCTTCTCCTCTTTTCAAGTCTCAGATGAAAATTACCTCTTCAGAAAGGCCCCCTAACTATGTCTGAGTGACATTTATCCCCCTGTCACTCTCCAGATCCTTACGTGGTTTCATTTTCTTTCAAGCACCATGGGAACTAACTTATTTATCTGTCGAATAAATAAATGAATATGAATGTGGGCAGTGGTTTTGCCATCTGAGCTCAATTTCCCCAAGCAGAAAATGGGCAGCTGACGTCAGTGGGCTTTCTGTCCTGGGAGGGGCCTGCTTTCCACACACCCTCTGCTTTCCCCGAACACCATCCCAGCTGCTGGGAACCCTCCCTCCTGGGGGAGGCCAAGCATCGACTACTTAGATTTCTGCATCAGAATTCAGGTGCCTGTGGGAGAGGGTGGGGATGGTCAGTTATGCTCAAATGGGGGGGGGGGTGGCGGTCAGGAATCCTGGGTCCTAGAAGGATCAAGTCTGTGCAAAGAGCTGGGGGAGAGGGTAGCTCAGCAGCCCCCAGCTGTGTAGCCCACAGCAGGTCATTTCTCTCTGAACATTAACGTCCTCCTCTGTGGCATGGAAATAAGAGGAAAGGAGCTATGCAGTTTCCCTGCACCTAGAGGCTCTGAGGTGTGAACGGGTGTGCACTGCCTTCAGCTTCTCCCCTGCTCCCCTTGCCCTGGCTCTGGCCCTGCTCAGCCTTGCGGTCTTGGACCTCACTTTCTAAATCTGAATGTTTAGTCTGATGGTGGACACAGACGCATTGGTGAGGCTCAGGGGCAGAGCAGAACACGGCTGGGCCGCCCCTTTGAGCGCCACTTCTCCCGCGCCCCCATTTACTTCCTTGACCCCCAGCACACACCCTCCGCTGTGGCTTCCAGTTTGGGTGCCACTCCCTGGGGTCAGCACCGCGGACAGCTCCCAGCCTGTGGCTGGCATGGGCCACCCCCTATTCTTTTTTTTCTTTTTTTATACCAAAGGTGGAAATGTATTAAAGAACAAGCACAGACTCCCACGTGGGAGGGGGAAAGAGTCCCCTGTTCCTTTTTTTATTTTATTTATTTATTTTTTAAAAATATATTTCTTTATTGATTTCAGAGAGGAAGGGAAGAGAGAGAGAAACATCAATGATGAGAGAGAATCACTGATCGGCTGCCTACTGCACACCCCCCACTGGGGAACGAGCCCGCAACCCAGACATGTGCCCTCGGCCGGAATCGAACCTGGGACCCCCCAGTCCGCAGGCCGACGCTCTATCCACTGAGCCAAGCCAGCCAGGGCCCCTGTTCCTTTTTTAAAAAATATATATTTTATTTATTTTTTACAGAGAGAAAGGGAGAGAGAGAGTTAGAAACATCAATCAGCTGCCTCCCGCACACCCCCCACTGGGGATGTGCCCGCAACCAAGGCACATGCCCTTGACCGGAATCGAACCCGGGACCCTTCAGTCCGCAGGCCGACGCTCTATCCACTGAGCCAAACCAGTTACGGCCTTTTTTTTTTTTTTAAGACAAAAGGAACAGCGATGCAGAGGGCATGGGCACAACCCGGATGGACAGTGGCCCTTGGCAGCAGCCGCAGCAGGAGCTGGGCCAGGAGGCTGGCGGGGTGGGGGCAGAATGCTGGCTGGGAGCTGAAGGGGGCCTGGGTGCGGCACCGCCCGTGGGGTTATGGCACGTGTGGGAGTCTTCATGGTGAGCCGGCCACAGCCGGGAGGGACCGAGGTGGGGCAGAGTGAGCGGGAGGCAGGCACACGGGCATGTGTGGGGAGGGGGGGGCTCGCCGGCCCGGCCACCTAGGTCAGCAACCTCTCTGAGTCCGGGAAGAAGTCGGGGAGGAAGGCAGGGTCCGGGAGGCCTCTGTGGGAAGCTCCTCGGGGTCAGGGCCCCCTATTCTTTTATCACCTACGACCCAGAGGAATTGGTGCTGTTTTCACACCACCACCCCTCCCCCATGGGGAAACTGAGGCATGCTTGCCCTAGACCCGGCAGCATCTGTTGGGCTGGAGAACTTACATTCCCGACTCATTAACTGAACCTGATTCTGTTCGGTGTTTAAATGCCTCTAGTGTTTGCTCAGAGCATGCTTGCAAACAACATTTTATTTAATTTCTCCTATCCAGTCCCTCCTTAAGAAATGAACTGAGGTTCAGAATCCAGAATCCCATCTCCACCACTTATTTACCAACTGTAACCTTGGGCAAGTTACTAAAGCTCTGAGACTCGGTTTTCTTTTTTGTAATATGAAGGTAATGGTATAAAATGGCCTCACCTTGCCTCATGAGCTGACCCACAAGGGTCTCTTAGAACAGCACCTATGTGGAATGAGTGTGCAAGAAAGATTGTCTATTGGTACTGCCATTATTATTCACTTGTTTATTTACTGCATGTTTTATTTTTATATTTTAATAGATAATATAATTTATGAAATTAAAGTGCCTATTATTATAACAAACAGCAGTATATATTACATGATGTTATAAATAATGAATATACTGTGTGTTAATTGATTAATAAATAAATATTGCTGTAATACCTACTATAGGCCAGGCACTATTCACATCCGGCAAGGTTGAGGTCCATCTCCCCATTTCATAGATGCGGAAACTGAGGTTCAGAGAAGTAAATTCACTCGGGGGGGAGTAAAACTGAGGTACAGCTCTCTGGGCCAGTCCAGGTATCTGGGGGAAGGAATCTCAGAGCATCATGGACCCAGGGAGCCAGGAAGGTCTATGCCTGGGAACTCACTCATGTCTTGTTACTGTCTCCCTAGCAGGTCCGAGAGTCTGTGGATTCCAGCTCAGCCCCTGTGAGTCCCCGTGGCAGTGGTGTCATCTGGAGACGCTTCTCAGGGACCCCATTGCTGCCACCGCTGTCGAGCCGCCTCAGGCCCCCTGGAGAAACGGAGCCCAGCTCCTGTGTGGTGTTCACCATCGGGGCTCGAGGGACAGAGCAAAGCCATGGTCCAGCTTCAAGCAGGTGAGGAGGCAGATGGGGATCAAGGGGATCAATCGAGGAGAGGAAATGCCTCGTCTAGATGGACCTTTCTTTAATTTGTTCATAAAGCACTTATTAAGCACCTATTGTGTGCCAGGCCCTGTACTAGGGGCACAGCCATGGCCAAGTAGGTGCTCATAGGCTGACGGTGGAGACAGAGTTATGCCAACTGGAGAGATGAAGGTGCCATGGAGCCCAGGGGGCTTCTGACCCAGCACTGGGGAGTAGAGGGTGAGAAAGGACTTCTTGGAAGGAGTGGCATCTAAGGATGCAGAGGTGGCTTAAAGGATGAAGAGAATCAGCAAGGAGGAGCACAAGGGAGGAACAGATTGTGCAAAGCCTCAAACTCAAGAGGATCAGGTGTGTGAGGAGTTGAAGACAGATCAACATGGCTGGAGGGTGGGAGGAGAGCCTGGGGAGGTGGGTAGGAGCTGGACCACACAACTCAGGGTGTAATGGGAGCCATGGGTGTGTTTTCAGGAGAGTGAATGGATATGATTGGCATTTTTTAAAATTCCTTCTGGCTCCCGAGTGTGTGTGTGGGGGGGAGGGGGGGTTCAGGGGCAGGGTGGAAGCAGCAGGAGCCCAGTGAGAAGGCAGTTCTGGGCAGGAGACGGTAGTGTCTGAACCAGGGTGGGAGCCATGGGCTGGAGAGAAGTAGGCAGATTCGCATCCACTTCTTTTCAAAAATTGTATTTATTGATGAGAGAGATTTGTTGTTCCACTTATTTATTCATTCATTGGTTGATTCCTGTATGTGCCCTGACCAGGAACCCCCAACCTTGGTGTATCAGGACAATGCTCTAACCAACTGAGTTACTCGGCTGGGGTGTCCACATCTACTTCTCTCAATCATGATAGAAAATGTTCTCACCCTTCCTTTTCCACTTCCCAGGAAATTTCTCCTGAGATTCGAATGCCTGGCGGGAAGGGCCTTGAGTTTCTAGAACTGGGGAAGGGAGAGGCATGCCTGTGAGGTGGGGCCCATGGTGTGTCCCAGAACAAATGAGATTCTGCCATTTCCACTGGGCATTGGTGTGGCGATGAAAGGGTGCCCTTCTTTGCCCACTCCCACTGTTGGCGGCCCTGACCAGAGGCAGCTTGTGTGCCCACCCCAGGCATGCAAGCTTTTCTGTTCTCCCCAGATCCCTACCCTGTGTGAGTGAGGGGTTTTAGGACTCCCAAGAGACCCCGTCTGAATGGCTAAGCTTAGCTTCCTGAGCTTGGTGGATAGATGGCTGTTTGTTACTACCTCTGAGGACCAGAGCCTTTGACTCTGCACCCAGACTCCTTTGCTACCGTCACTGGGGAGGGTTGAGGACCCGCCGCTGTTCAGCCTTCAGCACCTCCTGGGCGGACGGCGCCCTAGTCTGGAGGTGTTCAGGAACCCCGGTCTCCCTGGTGACTTCAGCACCAACAGGTCGAGGACAGCAACTCGCTGTCTCGCCCACCCTCAATCCACTACTACCTTCTTCCCTTTCAAAACCTAAAGAAGGGACAGTGCCTTCACGCTGGGGGTCTCCCAAGGCCCCGTCTCTCTGCTCTCCATTCGGCAGCAACCGGGAGGACCATTTCTGTCTTCTCCGCTCCAAGTCCGGTCTTACAGGAAAACGACAGACCATTCTCGGCGCTGGGGGGTCTCCCCAGCGCCTGTCTCCAACCCCCACGCCCAGGTTTTCCACCCCCGACGCCCCGCCCCGCCATCCTTCAGCACCACCGGACACGGACAGCTCCTCGGTGTCCGCCCCGCCTTGAGCCCCTGTTGACCACCGCTGGCGCCAACAGCTCCTCGCCTCCACCCTCGCCCGGGCAGACCAGGGCGCAGACTCTGACAGTCCTCACTCCGGGACGGCTCCCTCCCCTCCTCTCCCTGCTCCGCTCCCCTGGCGCATGGAGACCCCGGGGGTACCAGAAGGGGCGCGGGCACCCAGCGAGCTGAACCGCGCTCTCGGCGGCCAAGGCTTAGCCAGATCCCCGAAGCACCTGTGGCGGCAGCCGCGGCGCCCCATCCGTATCCAGCAGCGATTCCACTCGGACCCGGACAAGTCCGCGGGCCGCAGCCAGCAGAACCGGGGTCCGCGGCTGGGGCTCCAGAAGTCAAGGTGCTCCTGCCCCACTTCCTTCCATGGGTGGCAGGTGGGCCCTCCCGAGGCGTGGGGGAGGGGAGCACGGGCCTGTGGGAGTTGGGAAGGGTCCTTGCTTCTCCAGGGGGCGGGGTCTCTACTGTTTGGCTGAGGCCGGTGCTTTAGAGGGAAAAACTGTTTTTACATGGGGTGACGCTGGGGCATCATGATTGTTTGGGGGGGGTGTGCCTGGGTGTGCCAGGTGTGGTTGCATCTCAGTGTGTGTGTGAATCTGAGCAATTGTGACCCTGTGTGTGCTCCGACCCTCTGCGTGAGTGTGCACAGCCAGCTGCCTCTCTGTGGGTGACCAGGGGTGCTCGGTAGTATGTATACCAGTTGTGTATCTGCCTGTGTGTCTTGCCCTTGTGGTCCTTGTGGGTATGTAGACCAGCGTGGCTGTCCTCGCTCTAACACAACTGAGGTTCTTTAGACCCTGGAGTGTCCTCGGATGTTTGTGGGGTGTAGCCACCTCGAGCATCTGAGAGGGCAGGTTGGGCTGTCCTCAGTCCTGGGGGAGGAGCTTGCTCTGTGGCCTGCCTTGCTACCATCCCTCTCCCGTCGCCAGAAGCAGGGGAAGCCTCTTGGGAGCCTGAGCACAGGATGTTTCTTTCCTTAAGAAAGGAGGGGGTGGAGAAGGGGTGTTGAAGTGGGAAGGGCTGCTCCTCCTGTTTCCTATAAAAGGTGAGTGGGATGAAGAGAGAGAGATGGAGAGAAACAGCAAGTGAAACAGGGGCTCGAGGGAGCCAGAGGTGGGAGTCTCAGTGGCTGGGCCAGGGCTGGGGGGCCCAGGAGTCCCAGATCTTTCTTGAGTGGGAGGGGGAGTTAGAGCAGGTCAGATCTAGAGTCCTGGGCTTGGTCAGGCTGGTCACCTTGGGGGAATCATTTTCCTCTCTAGACCGTCATTCTCCCACCGTGGTCCATGGCCCTCCTAGGGTTACTGGCTTCTTGACCTACAAGCCTGGCCTAACTCCCCAGCCCCAAGGCATCTGCAGCAGCTGGGATTGGAGCGCCTCCCAGGTGACCCAGCAGGTCCACTGCCCCCTTTTCCACTTCCCAGCCCTCAGCTCCTCCTGCCTCCCCCCTCCCAGTGACTCATAATTTTCCATCTTCAAGAAAGAACAAACAGAGACTGGATTTGGGCCCGTCTAGGGGGAGAGCCCACGTGACTCTGCAAGGTTCTGGAACGGGTGTGTCCCTGTGAACGTGGACTTGCGAATCCTGTCCATGCATGTATGTGCTGATGTGGGGGAGGGGCTCAGCCCTTAGGTTCCAGGCCAGTCTGCTAGGTGCTCCCCAGAGAGCAGAGAATACTAATGAAAGGCAAACACACAGCTGTACTTCCTGTATTTTGTTGAGAACTCTCTGTGTGGGAGCCTGGTCCCCCACTGTGGCTCTTCTCCCCACTGTCCCAGGTGGGTCACTTGGGTCTGGGAGGGTCCTAGCATCTTGTTCAGCAAACATTTATTAGCTACTTACTGTGTGCCAGGGCCTGTCCTGGGGACACAGCCACGGGCAAGCAGGTGCTCACAGGCTGATGGTGGAGACAGACTCGTACCAGCTGGAGAGAGAAAGCCTCTGATCCAGCTTTGGGGGGTAGGGTGTGAAGAGGGCCTGCTTGGAAGAGGTGGCATCTAAGCTTAACCTGAAGGTTGAAGAAAAATCAGCCAGAGGGCAGGGAAGGGTATACCAATTAGACGGAACAAATTGTGAAAAGCCTCAGACTCAGAAGGGTCAGGTATATGAGGAACTGAATATAAATCAACTAAAGGCCGGGTGCATGAATTCATGCACGGTTGGGGTCCGGCCAGCCCACCCTGATGGGGCCAATTGGGCCGGGCTGGCCAGGGGGAGGGACTGTGGGTGGCTGGTGGGCCGGCCCCGCCCCCTGGTCGAACTGCAGTTCGAACTCCCAGTGGGAGGGACAAATTGCATATTACCCTTTTATTATATAGGATGTGGTTGGAGAGTGGGAGGGGAGACTCCCTATTCATCTCCCAAGCATTAATTGAGAACCTATGGTGTGTTGGGCCCTGAGGCATAGCTGCTAGCAAGGCAGACCTGGTCATACCCTTGAGGGGCTGGTGGACAAGGCAGAAACAAATCAAATAATCATGACAATAAATGTGAAATTGTACTTGTGAGAGAAGGTGCTCTGAGAACATTTACCCAGCTGGTCAGGGAGGGCTTCCTGGAGGAATGATCTGAAAGATGAAGAGTCAGCAGGGGAAAGGTGTTGGGGCAAAGGCATGTGTGAGAAGGAGCCTGGCTGATTCAAGGAACGGCAAGGAGCAGGAGGAAGCCGCCACAGAGTGAACCAAGAGGAAGCGGGCGGGAGGCCAGCAGGGGTCAGGCATCACAGGGCCTCCAGAGAGGTGTGGATTCAGATGAGAGGGCAATGAGGAGCCAGAGGAGGGTCTGGAGCAGAGGGTGAGATCAAACTCATGTGAGCATCTATACACGTGACACCGCCCCTACTCTCTTCTCTCTGTCTAGACTCCATGGAGACTTGGGAAAGTCATTTCTCCTCTCCTGTTTGTCCTTAAATGGGCACAACAGCACCCACATCCTGTCTCCCTGGGGCCGCCTGGTGGCAGAAGAGAAAAGTGCCTGCCCACAGCAGGAATGCTCAAATCGGGGGAGTGATGTCCTTAGGGCACCAGTGCCTGCTGGGCACCCTCAGGTCATGCAGCACCCAGGGACAAAGTCAGGATGGGGGTCCCCGGGTCCATCCAGCCTTCAGCCTCTGCCCTTTACCCGGCAGGGCTTGGGGCCACCCAGGGTCAGGCAGGCCAGATTCCAATGCTGACTTTCAGCGATGAGTCTCAGTTTCTCCATCCAAAAAGCTATTAATAACACATTACTGTTAAAACTGTTAATGAAATATTTAAGGTTGAATCTATTAATGAACATTAATATTAAACTATTGATAAAACATTAATGAAGTCTGGGACTTCAGAGGGGATGGAGCCAGTTAAGCATTGAGTGGGAGAGAGCACCGGCTGGGAAGTCTATGTGGCAACTGAACACACCGCTCTGTGCCTCAGTTTCCCCACCCCCAAATGAGCATAATAGTCCTCATTTTCAAGAATTGCTCCGAAAAGCAAGTGACTTTTAGGTGCACAGCCCTTGGCTCAGAGCCAGGCAAGTAGGAAGTGCTATTGGTATTGCTGTGTTTAGTCTTAACCTGCCATTTCAGGTCTGTGACTTTAGGGGAGGGACTGAATTCCTCTGTGCCTCAGTTTCTCCTTGGGGACATAAGACTATTGCAAGCCCCTCCCATGGAGCTGGGATGGTGTCAAGGCTCCTGGGAGGGATCCTGCCCCCAGCGTCTCCACCAGGCCGATCCTGGCAGCCTCTATCCCCCGGGGACCGGCTATAATTAGGTGCAGCCGCAGCAGCTACAGAGGGTATTTTTGTCTTGGGGACAGCAAGTCTGGTTCCCACCAGGTGTCTGCTTGTAGGGCCACAGATGGCAGGAGGGGGTTCCCGGACAGACCCTTGAGACCCCTTGTCCTCCTGGGCCCCAGCATGACCCCTCTCTGAACCTCCACTTTTCTCATCTGTACAATGAGGCCAATAGTGTGGTTAGGAGGTCAGGAGAGGGTCAGGATCTCCTCCCTGTGGTGCCTCAGGCTCCCTCCGCTGAAGCCCTGATCACCCCAAGCTGTATCTCATATTTCCCTAGGTGTGCCAGAAATGTGGGTGCCCCACAACTAGTATAGTCCTCCCAGAGGCAAGGCCTAGACAGTGGGGAGGGCGGGGGAGGTCCAGCCTCCCTGGACTCAGTGGCTTCTGCCTGTGATGTGGGCATTTGGGGTCCTGCCTCCAAGTGTGACACCCTCTGAGATGTGGTTTCCTTTCCTGCAGTTCAGGGCAGGGCGACCAACCCCAGCACCTGGTATAGGCCCCTGAACTCTCCCAGACGCCAGCGGTGAGGGCTCCCTTTGCAACTTCCCCCCAGGTCCTTCCTGGTGGGGGTGGGGGCGGGTAGCTGATGCTTCACAGAACAGGAGATCTGGCTGGAATGGAGAGCGGATGTTTGTCCAGTGGAGACAGCAAGCGAGGGAAAAGGATCCAGAGACAGGGCCTGGGGTATGTCAGAGCAGGTGGGGGTCATGCGGGGACTTGTGGAGGGGAACTGGAGGAGGGGGAGCCTTGCCCAGCCCTCTGCCCTGCCATGAAGTTTTGTGTCTGTTACCACCTTGTTGGATTCCTGTTTCCTCACCTGGCAAAGGAGTAAGGCTTTGTTGCTGCTGGGCAGGCCCTTTGTGGCTCCCGGCCTCAGGTTCTCCATCCAGAAAACGGGCAGAGTGGGGCTGGAGTTTGTTGCTTCTGGGCAGCCCCTCAGCAAACTCCTGCCTCGGTGCTCTGCTCATTATGGACGGTGCTTCCCTTTCTGGCTTCTCCATTTCACTCTTTCAGCCAAGTTACCCAGACAGCTGCACTATTGCGAGACAGGTTGGCTGATAGAAGTAGAATAATATCCGGGTTCTAGGCCGCAGAGGGCCGCCCCCCAAGGGGGGGAGCAGAGAGTGGCACCCAGCTCCGTGCCTCAGTGTCCCCATTTGCCCGGGTGGGAGCTGCCCAGAACGGACCGTGGCGAGGCGGGGCCGGGCGCGCTGTCCCCTCTCCGCGGCCCCGCCCCCGCGGCTGTCCTGAAAAGGTTCCTCGGCCCGCGCTCCGTCCTGCTTCCACGCGTCGCGGCGATGCAGGGTCCCCCCGCGCCCGCCCCGGCCCCCGGGCCTGGCTCCCCCCGGGACTCCGCGCGCAGCTCCCCCGGGCTCTTCAGGAAGCTCCTGGTGAACCAGAGCATCCGCCTGCAGCGGCGCTTCACCGTGGCGCATCCTCTGTGGTGAGGGGACAGGAGAGCTGGAGGGTCCGCGGGAGCGCCAGGCTGGAGGGGGGAGGCCGCCGTCGGGGCGCGCTGGGGCCGGGGCCGGGCCGGGGCGTGGGCGCTCTGCCCCTCCTGCCCCTCCTCGGTCGCTGTCTCCCCTGTCCTGTCTCGGTCTCCCTCCACGCGGTCTGCACAAGCCGGGTCCCCGCGGCTGTCCCTTCCCAGCTGGGTGGCCCAGAGCAGGACGAGCTGAAGCTCACGTCTCCTCCCGACCCTCCCGCCTGGGCAGGCGGCCTGAGCGTCCCGGAGTGAGGGGAAGGGCGAGGGCCACCCCCTCCCCTTGGTCTGCGCTCCTCCCTCCGTCCCGGTGCCGGCCAAGAGGTGGCCTGGGGGCTTCCCAGGGAACTCTCCGTGTCCCCGAGGAAGACCCGGGTTTATGAGGCGCCCACAGCCTAAGAGAGGCATTTCGCGTCTCAGACTGAGAGCGGATCCCCCAGCGCCACTCGGCCGTGTCCTCCGAGGACGTCACCTCTCTGGGTTCGAATCCCGCCCCTTCAGGAAGCGACTGTGCGGGTGGGGGCGAGGCTGGGGGCGGATGGGGCTTGTGGGCGCCGACCGCGTCTGGCACCTCGCGCGGCGCGGTTCCTGCAGCGCTCAGGCCCCTGGATGATTTGGCACCTGGAGGCTCAGGGGCTGGGGGTCCCAGTGACAGCTGGCGGGGGCGGGGCGGTCGTGGCCGTGGTCTCCGATGGCGCCACTGCAGCCCGGGAGGGGGGTCCTAGGTCTGGAAAAGCGCCCCCAGAGCACCCACCCGACGCCTCCTAAGGGTGGTGCCTGCCTAGGGATCCGGAGAGAGCGCAGGGGCGTCGAGGGAGCGCCCTCGGGAGCCAGAGGTGAGGCTAGGGGATGGCGGGTCCCTCCGCGGCCCTCGTGCCTCCGTTTACCTGTCTAACCCACGGACAGACATGCGGCTTCCGCCGTCAGGGCGACCTCGCCCCCCGCCGCCGCGTCATGGAACCACAGCCTGACCCCGCCACTCCCAGCTAAGATTAGAGCAGAAAACAAAACAAAACAAAAACTTCCCCGGCTGTGACCGGCCTTCCACCCTGAGCGCCGGCTCACTGGATTGCAGCCCCGCACCCTGTGGGCCTCCCCCCGCTACAGCCGCCCTAGCTATCCATGGGTGCGCGTCCCCAGGCCTCTGGGAGAGGCGAGGAGGGAGAGGGTGGCCACTCCTAGGCCTCCCCTCGGAGCGCGGGTCACTGTGTCTGCCGCCCGCAGCCCCTCCACCGCTCCCGGGCCCCCAGCCAGGCGGTCGGTGTTTGGAAGCCCAGCCCTCCTCCTGACGTCACGAGGCGGGAGCCCGGACGCACGCGCGGTAGCGGCTTCTCGTCTCGGCTGAAGCGGAACTGGCGGAGAGCGGCCGGACAAAGCCCAGCGCACCCGAATTCTCCGAGTGTGGCCGAACAGAGCCGAATGTTCCCGAACGCATCCGAACCTGCCCGAGCGCGGTCGGACGTAACCAAGTCAGAATGAACTCGCCTGACCGAACTCGGTTGGACCACGCCCAATAGAACTTAAACCCGACCCCGCTGGACCGAATCCAGCCGAACCGGACAGAATCCTGCCGAATCCCGGACGGGTGACCTGGCGGGGGACCAGGTGGACATGGACCTTTGGCCAGAAGCCCCAAGTTGTGGGCGGCCCCCGGTGTCTACCTGTCTCCTGCCTGCGCTCTCACAGCCCGTGACCTGCGGCAGCCCCTCTCCGTTGCTAACTCCCATTCAGAACCTCTGTTCTTGCTCACGTCCCCGCCCACTTTTCTCTGACCTCTGACCCCAAGGAGGATGAGCATAGATTCTCCTTTAACCAGTCAGGGTGTGGCGGGAGGGAGGGACCGGGCTGAAAGAGCGAGGAGGGAGGAATTGAAGATTGCTCGGAGCAAGGGGTGCTGTGGGGAGGAGGGTGCTCCGGGAAGCGGGCATGGCCCCCAGTGGAAGCCTGGAGGTGGAAGAGTACTGGCAGCGCATTCGCGTGGAAATGAAGCAGGAATAATAGATCTGGGGGGTAAAGGATGTGAGGGCGTGGTCGACTAGATTGGAGCGGGGCCAAGTGGGCTGAGGGTGTGGGCTGGGGGAGGGGACAGGTGACCCATACTGGCTGGGGCGGGAACTGGCCTGATTTGGGCAAGATCCAGGCCCCTCCAGAGAGGAGAGCCCAGATAGTCAGTTTCCAGTCTCTGTGACCTTACCACGCGGCCTGGACCTGTTTCCTTCTTAGTAATATGGAAGCCCAGTTGTCACTCTCAGGTGCTCAGCTGTAACTACCTAAAAGCCCCTCGGAGAAGACTCTACCCGTGCCTATATTAGAGACAGGATAGTCAATGTCCAGAGAAAGGCTGAGACCTACCCCTGGTCACACAGACATTTGGGGACAGATCTGAAGCTCACGTTCTAGAGTCTAGACTGGTCCCAGTGGGAAGGCTGGTGCCAGGTCCCTGGGGAGGGGTGTGACTGTGAGGCAGGTGGACGAACTGTACGCTACTCCTTCATGGCCCATCGTTTGGCTCCCGGGAGGATGTGAAAAGACAGGTTCGAGCCACCAAAGGCCATCCGCTTGCCAGGCCCCTCGGCTCTGACCATGCCTCATCTGTTTCCAGCTTTGACCTGGAAAATGCACTCTCACGCGGGAGAAGCGCCCAGGACCCTCAGGTCGGGCTTGGCCCTGGCCAGGTCACCCAACACAGCCAGCGGCGTGAGTCCTTCCTGTACCGCTCGGAGAGCGACTACGAGCTCTTGCCTAAGGCCATGTCCCGGAACTCTTCTGTGGCCAGTGACCTGTGAGTCTGGGGCTGGTGGGATGACACCTACTCGTCTCTTCCTCCTTTTATTATTCCATTCAGCACACCTCCTTCAAGTGGCTTTTTGTGCAGGGTTTTGAAGTTTAAGTAGGAGTTTGTCAAGCAGCCACTTACTCAGTTGAACTTGCCTAGAATGATATCTGGTGATCTGTGCTTGACTTTAGGCTTGGGTTGGGTGGCAATCCAGAAACATTAAGGACAATTAGTAGCAACTGAACAAACACCTTAATTAGACCTTCCTGGTAGCCATAATAAAAGGGGAAATATAATAATATCCCTGCTTCCCCCGGGACTCAGTTTCCTCATGTGTGAGGTTGGAGGGGCTTCCAGAGAAGAGCCAGGTAAGGGGAGCCCAGGGATTAATAGCGCACCAGAAAGAGGAGTTGTGAGGGAAGGATGAGCTCAGCTGAGGGCATAGTGTGGGCATAGTGTTAGGTGGGAGCACGCTGGACAGCTCCCTGGCCACCCTTTCTAATGTCCTCTCTCCCCACAGACATGGAGAAGACATGATTGTGACACCCTTTGCCCAGGTGGGTGCCCACTCCTCCCCCTTCCTGCGTGAGGCAAGCAGGCGAAATCGATCCCCCCTTTTCCAATGCTGATCGTCCCCCTCCCAACAGGTCCTGGCCAGTCTGCGGACTGTTCGGAGCAATGTTGCTGCGCTAGCCCACCTGCAAGGCCACAGAGCAGCCAAGTACATAGGGGGTTGGGCGGGGGTGGGGCCTGGCAGAGAGAAGGGCAGGGCCGGGAGGAGGGGGCGGTGGCCCACAGGTGGGCTGGATGGGGTGGGACCATTTGGGTGAGGTAGGCCACCGCAGAGCGGACTGTACTGCAGGCAGACATCCATCGGGAACCCTCCATCTGGCAGTCAGCCCCCTCCTCCTCCAGGTAATTCTCCTGCTCCTACCCCTCCCTCACACTATGGGACCGCTGTCAATTTCTTCTCCATGGTGACCTCCCCAGCCCATGGACCCTTAGGCTGTGCTCATTGTCACCCTCCAAAACACCCTCGGGGCTGGAGTCTACCAGGCCCAAATGACAGATGGGGAGGCTGAGGTCCAGAGAGGGGCGGAGACCCGCCCATGGTCACACAGCCACTGGGGACAGATCTGGAACTCAAATCCTGGGGTCTGGAGTGGCCCCACTGGGAAGGGCTGTAGGTTCTAGATGTCGACATGGAGTCATGAAGGGGTGGGGTCACCGAGTGGGGGTGGGGCAGGATCCTGATGGCTCAGCCCCCAGAGGACACTGGGCAGAAGCTGGCCTTGGAGACACTGGATGAGCTGGACTGGTGTCTGGATCAGCTGGAGACCCTGCAGACCCGGCACTCGGTGGGGGACATGGCCTCCAACAAGGTGAGGGGGGCCAGCGAGCGGAGATCATGGGCCGCCACCCGCAGTGCCCCCTCATCACTGTCCTCGCCTCCCCCTGCAGTTCAAGCGGATGCTGACCCGGGAGTTGACTCACTTGTCTGAGACCAGCCGCTCGGGGAACCAGGTGTCAGAGTACATTTCCCAAACCTTCCTGGGTGAGCTGTGGGGGGCCACTGCCTGGGCACCATACGGAGGGAGGAAAAGACCTCCGTCAGGGGAAGGCAGAGCAGCCACCTGGGTGAAGGAGGCCGGGCCAGCGGGAGGAGCAGGGGGACGATCCCGGAGGAGGGGACATGAAAGCCTGGGTTGTGAAGCATGAGTAAAAGTTTTCCAAGAAGGAGATGGAGGAAACCTGATAGCTGGGTCTCCAGCTTGGGAGAGAGAAAGGACACTGAGCTGTTTGGGGGGAAACACTGAGCCCCAGGCTCTCAGAAGAGGTTACTGAGATCAGCCACGGAAAGAGGGTAGATAGGGACTTTGCTCTGAGCTGACCGGGATCCAGGTAAAAAGGAAATAGGTTGATCCTGAGGCTTAGCAAAGTCTGGGACCCGAGACGAGGCAGGACAGCCCTAGCAGGTGAATCGGCTTCTCTGAGTACCACCCTTCCCTCCTTCCAGACCAACAGACCGAGGTGGAGTTACCCAAGGGAACCCCCAAGGAACCCTCGAGGCCCATGTCCCAGATCAGCGGCCTGCAGGGGCTCCCCCACAGTGCCAGCCTCCCCACAGCCACCACTCCATGCTTTGGGGTCCAGACTGACCAGGAGGCGCAACTGGCCAAGGTGGGTTCCCAGCTAGAACGCTGAGACCTGGGTTAGGGTTCTGGCTCTACCTGCATGCCCTATTATGAGCCTCAGTTTGCCCACCTGTACACTGGGCAAGTGGGGCTGAATGTAAGATCCGGGGGAGGGGCTCACAGGTTCAGAGTCTGGGGAAGTCGGGCCTGGGTCAAGCTCCAGTTCTTCACATTTTAGGAACTGGAAGACACCAATAAGTGGGGGCTTGATGTGTTCAAGGTGGCAGAGCTAAGTGGGAACCGGCCCCTCACAGCCATCATATTCAGCATCTTTCAGGTACCTCCCATGACCTTGCCCACCAATACCCCTGGATTTCTTTCAGCCCTTCCGACCTCAAGACCTTAGGGACACATATCCTTCAACTCCTCCTTAACACCCCTGAATGAAATCATTTGAGCAGGGCATTGAAGGATGAATAGGAGTTCACTAGGCTGAACAGGTCATTGCTGATAGTCAACAAGCCTCAGCTCTGGGCCCAGGCCTGAAGAGACCTAGTCTGGAGGGAACTGCTGTGGGGGTCAGAGATAGACCAGAGGGGAAGGTCAAGGACCAAGTGATTTCAGAATTGAGGGCATCCTGGAAGATGGGGCACGTGAGAGGTGGATGGAAGTTCAGAAGGAGAGAAGGTGTAGGAACAGTGGGTGCCGCCGCCTGGAGGAAGTCCTCACTGGGGCCTGTGGTGAACCAGAAACGGGACCTGCTCAAGACCTTCCAGATCCCGGTGGACACACTTGCCACCTACCTGCTGACGCTGGAGGGTCACTACCACGCCGACGTGGCCTACCACAACAGCCTGCATGCCGCTGACGTGGCCCAGTCCACGCATGTGCTGCTGGCCATGCCCGCCCTGGAGGTACGGTCCTATAGACAGCGGGGCAGGTGCAGGGTGCCGTGCAGAGAGCCCGCCGCTCAGCGCTTATGCCCATGCCTGCTCAGGCTGTGTTCACAGACTTGGAAGTCCTGGCTGCCATCTTTGCAAGCGCCATCCATGATGTGGACCATCCTGGGGTCTCCAACCAGTTTCTCATTAACACCAGTGAGTTAGGGGCCCTGGGGACAGGCCTCCACCTGTCAATCGTGTGATCTCCAGTGGTCCCATCCCTCTTTGAGCCGAGTCTGCCTGTTCATGAAATGGCTGTGCAGTCTTCCCCTCCTTGGGTATTCAGAGCGGGTCCAGGTGCATAGTAGACACTCAATAAGTGAGAGAATAACAAATGTGGCAGAGCTCATCTGAGCCCGCTGAGATGTTGAAGGTTAGGGACCTTTGAGGTATCTGGAACACTCGGTCAATAAGCAATTATTGGGCACCTCTTGTAGACACCCCAGGAGAGCCCTCTCACTCGAGGATCCCAGAGTCTCATTGGATAAAGATTCAGTTGTTCATTCAACCAGCACTTAGTACACACTCTTTCCTGCCATGCCAAGTCCCCAAGGAGTCCCCCGTCTCGAGGAGGCAGAGCAGGACACAGATGCCCCCAGCCCCGTGGAGTCGGCCTGGACAGAGAGAGAGAGAGAGAGAGAGAGAGAGAGAGACGGGGTCATAGAAGGCTTCCTGAGGAGGGGGCTTTAGGGTTGGAGCTTCAATGCCTGAGTAGGAGTTTGCCAAGAGTTCACCGAACCTGCCTTTTGGTGAGGCGGGTTGGTCGGGCAGACGGCGAGGCTCTCCACCGTCCTCCCCCACAGACTCGGAGCTGGCGCTGATGTACAATGACGCCTCCGTGCTGGAGAACCACCACCTGGCTGTGGGCTTCAAGCTGCTGCAGGCAGAGAACTGCAACGTCTTCCAGAACCTCAGCACCAAGGAGTGGCTGAGTCTGCGCAGGATGGTCATCGACATAGTGAGGCCACAGCGATGGGCGGGGGGATCTGGGCGTGCCTCCACTCTGAGCCCGAGCTTCCTGGGCTATAAAATGGGGCAATGACCCTAAGCCCTGGGTGGGGTGACCAGGCCCTTGGTCCTGGCTGCGGTTCACGCATACGCGATATGGAAACCGAGCTTCTGGGGTTTCAGGTGCAACTGTTTTGAGCCTTTAGTCTGTCCGTTTGGTGTTTTCCAGGTTGGAAGACACCAGTAAGTTTTGGAGTCTCGTGCCTCATTCAATCACTTTATGAGCATTTGTTGAACACCTGTTGTGAGCTTGCCCTTTGCAATGGCCAAGACAGTTCTGGCATTTCTGAGATTACAGTTTGTGAGGGAGACGGACACGTGGGTGGGAGCGATGATGGGGACCCCGAAGCAGAGCTGTGGTGGATGACTTGTAGGCAGAGCTGTGATGGGGCCATGCTCAAGGTCAGGTGGGGCTCCCCCAAGAGGAAACCCTGAGATTGGAGTCTGCAGGGTGGGGAGGGGAGGGGCTGGTGAGGAGTGTTGTCAGCAAAGAGAACAGCATGTGGGGAGGGCTCAGAGGAAAGGCAGGCTCCCAGGGAAGAGAAACTAAACATTTGCTGAGACGGAGTTGAGGCCTTGGGTGGAAGACATCATTTGGGGGCCACCTGGAGGTTTGGGAAGAAGCTTTGAGACTTTTGTCTGATTCTCAGAGAAGCCCATGGGCTGGGTATTGGTTATTCCTGGGCTGGGTTCATATGGATCCAGCAAAGTTTATTTTTAAAAAATATATATTTTTATTGATTTCCGAGAGGAAGGGAGAGGGATAGAGAGATAGAAACATCAATGATGAGAGAGAGTCATTGATTGGCTGCCTCCTGCACGCCCCCTCCTGGGGACCGAGCCCGAAACCCGGGCATGTGCCCTTGACCGGAATCGAACCCAGGACCCTTCAGTCTGCAGGCCGAGGCTCTATCCACTGAGCCAAACCAGCCAGAGCCAACGAAGTTGATTTTTAAACAATTATGTTTGGGGCCAAACTTCCCTCCAAATTGCTGAAAACAGCCCTCCCAGGCACACATGGCCATAGGGAAATTTGGGGAGCACCAAGTCAGGTTCCTCCCAGCTTCAAGACCACCTATGGCTCCCATGGCCCTCTGGGTAAGTCCCCCACTCCTCCCCGAGGCCCTCTCCGTTCCGGTCAACCTCACTTGCTCCAGCCATAAGTGCTTCCTCTATGTTCCCCAGCTCATCCAGCCCCAGGGCCTTTGCACAGGCCATGTCCCGGGCTGAGCCTCACTGCTGCCCTCAGCCCCCACATCTAACCTTTAACGTGTGGAATGCATCCCATGAGCCTAAAGACCTTAGAGGTGGAGCCCTGACTCGGCTCCTCTTGTGAGCTGGGTTTGCAGCCAATGTCATGACATCCCCCCATTTCATAGATGAGGACGCAAACGCAGAGGGCTGAGGGTCTGAGGGGTGTGACGTCTGGGAGGAAAGGGTGGGTGGGAGCAATGCTCATACCTGTCATTCCCCCCTCACCTGCCCTCAGGTGCTGGCCACTGACATGTCCAAACACATGAACCTCCTGGCTGACCTCAAGACCATGGTGGAGACCAAGAAAGTGACGAGCCTGGGAGTCCTGCTGCTGGACAACTACTCGGACCGCATCCAGGTGTGTGGCTGGGCTGACCCTGGGTTTCCACGCCTCTCATTTAGCTGCACTCATGAAGCGCCGCCTGTGTGCCAAACTTGGAGAAACGGAGGCAAAAAGGTGCACGTGGCTGTGCCTTAGCCACTCCTCCCCCTCCCGGGCCTCAGTTTCCCCACCTGGAAGAGGGGTGTGTCCATGGTACCGGCCTGGCAATGGGGGTTAACCGAGCCTCGGTCTCCTCAGGTCTTGCAGAACCTGGTGCACTGTGCTGACCTCAGCAACCCCACTAAGCCGCTGCCCCTGTACCGCCAGTGGACAGACCGAATCATGGCTGAGTTCTTCCAGCAGGGAGACCGTGAGCGGGAGTCGGGCCTGGACATCAGCCCCATGTGTGACAAGCACACAGCCTCAGTGGAGAAGTCCCAGGTCAGAGGGTGACTGGGTCAAGCTGGCAGGCACTGGGGAGGGGGAGAGAATGGAGTAGCTGAGCCGACCCCCTGAGTTCTGGCTGGACCCCTGGCTGGTCAGTGAGGGAGTGCGGCCTGAGGGCGTGGTCTGCCCTGGGCTGGGTGGGGTCAGGCGGGGATGCATTCTCTCTGGGCTACAGGGAAACGGATCTGCACTCAAGGGGGTTGAACATGTCTATTCTGAGTGATGTGGGGCCCCTGGAGGGGGTCTTAGTCTGGGGGCACATACACCTAGCCCTGAGGGGTCTGTGCTGGGTGGAAGGAAAGACTTAGGGGTTGGGGGAGCCCAGAAGGGGCAGGGGAGACTTTCTAAAAGAAGGGTTGTTTGAAGAAGGTTTTGAAGGATGAGTAGGCGTTGGGAAAGGGCATTCCCGGGAGAGAGAACAGCCTAGGCCTGGAGGCTTAACTGGGTCTGGGTTCCATGGTGCCTCACAGCACAGCCACCCCCCTCCCCCCCAACCCCGTATCACCCCCCAGGTGGGTTTCATTGACTACATCGCCCACCCACTGTGGGAGACCTGGGCTGACCTGGTACACCCAGATGCACAGGACCTGCTGGACACGCTAGAGGACAACCGCGAGTGGTACCTGAGCAAGATCCCCCGCAGCCCCGTGGATCCCACCAGCCCTGAGCAGGGCGGCCTTGACAGATTCCAGTTTGAGCTGACTCTGGAGGAGGCAGAAGAGGAGGAGGAGGAGGAGGAGAGAATGTTGGCCCAAGAGGCCTCAGAGTCACCTGACACTGACCTCCTGTCCCCTGAGGCCAGCTCAGACCCTGGGGCCTTATGCCTAGACAACCAGAGGACAGTGGGCAAGCCCTGCATGGACCATGAGGGCAATGTAACCGCTGAGCCATCTGGCTCCTAATGGCCCCTAATGAGTGGGTGGACTCTCCAGGAAGAGGTCCCAGATGATCATGCCTTGCCTTCTCCACACACTGAGGGGGACAGCCTTAGTTATAGGCAAGTTTCAGGATTGAAGCTGGCTGGGGTCCACTCTGACCCCGGGCTCTGCCGAGCTCTCCTCCTCCAGCGTCAGCTCTGACGTTGGGGCTGGGTCAGGCCCAGCTTCTCCAGCGGTCACTCTTGAGCCACACCCATCACTTACTCTTTCATTCTTTATCAGATATTTATTGGGCACATCCTGTGTGCCTGGCCTGTGCCTGCTATGTGCCTCTGGGGGAGCCCTGTGCGACGGGTGAGGAGTCAGCCCCAAGGAGATGCCCCCCACAGGCACCTCCCTGTCATCTGCTGGGGACCTTGATGGGGAAAAGCTTTGTCCAGTCCCAACTCTGGTTCTGGAGCTCTGGAGGGGGTGGTCAGGGGGCAGCAGAGAGAGGGCTCTGTGTGGGGACATCTCTGAAGACTGATGTGGCCTGTTGCTGCTTGTGCATCAGTTATTGCTTTAAGTAGCTGCGATTTCTTCTTCAGGTGCCTCTGGGTGCACCTGTTCTCTCTGACCTCAGGACCTCCTGCTGGCCCCTCCCCCCATTCTCCCTCTTATACAACAGCAACAAAAGCACACAATTCCTGTCACCCCTACCGTGGGTCTCTGTATCCCCCAATTCTGAGGGTGCCCCAGACACCTCCTAGGGAGGCCTCCTAGGCCTCAGTTTCCCCTCTATGGCCTGATCCTAGTATTTGGGTAAACTTTGGTTGAGAGGTAGTGTCTCTGAGCACCCTGAAATATCTTAGAAATCTGGGGCGTTGAACGTTTCTCTGGAGTTAAATAAACCTTATTAACTTAAACTAGTATGTCTATTTCACGGATGGGGAAACTGAGGCACAGAGCAGTCCTGTGGCCTACTCTAGGCCACGCTGCTGGGTGCTGGACATTAGCTCGCGGCGCCCCCTGGCGGCGGGAGGCGCGGCGAACTTGGGGGTCCTGTTCTCCTGGCTGGCCTCCCCTATGGCATCTCGCTTGCTGGATCAGCCTAGGGCAGGGGCGGATAGGCCGCTCAGTGTTCAAGTGTCAGTTTCAGTTCCTGTCTCCGGAAGGCTCAGTATTCCACCCTGAAACTTGCCTCCTTCCCAGCGTGCCTGAACATGTATGTGTGACACAGGTCCTCCCAGCATCCTCTGGCTTCCAGAACAGCTCCCTTCATTACTAAATCACTCCACTGAAAATTCATCATCACAATCAATGATGAAATTCCACAGAGGGAAAATTAAACGTCATCTGGGTCATGAACTTGGTGCGTTTGCTTCCGGATCTTTAAAAGGCAAAATTTTTTAAGGGAATGATTATTTGCAATTTTTCTCCCTGCCCCTTGACTTACAAGTAATGAATGCTCACCTTAGATAATTTGCAAATAATGGAAACATAAAGAAGAAAATAAAGTTCCGTTATAACCTCACTCATAAACCACCTGCCTTCAGCATTTCACCTTATTTCCCTCTGGATTTTTCTTCACCCATTCATAAGAATGCTAATATATTCCCCTTGAATTTGTGCTACAGGCATCCCTCTCACTCCCCGTTACTGACTGCACTCTACCCACTCTGGCCTCCCACACCCAAGCACAGCCCCACCCCAGGGCCTTTGCACATGCTCTGCTCACCACCTGGAATGCTTCTTTCCTCCTTCATCCTCACCGTTGGGTCTCAGCTCAGCGACCTCTCCTCTGGGAGACCCTCTCTAATACCCCACTACAGGCTGGCACTGGTGGAAGCTCTGGGGAATTCTTTGATTCATGTCCGTCACTCTCTCCAGACCATGATCCGGATGCCTGGGCCGGGTCCACTGCACCATCTTCAGTGTCCCCAAAATGGACTTTGACAACTTCAGCAAGTCCCTTAACCTCCTGAAGCCTTGGTCTTTTCAAGGATAAAGTGGGCTCTTGGTGAGGGTCACATAATCGCAATAACAGGTAACATGTGAGGAAAGCATGTCCTGAGCTAGGCACTGAGATACATGCTCAAAGTGCAAATCGACTTTGCCTCTTCCTTCTTCCATTTCACAGATGGAGAAACTGCGGTCCGCGGAGGGGGTGGCTGAAGTCACTCACATGCTCCAAGTCCCCCATGTCATGCTGTTCAGGGTCCTTGCCTTGGTGGCCCACCCTAAACCCAAAGAGGAGGGTGGGAGAAAGTCTTTGGGGCCCTTTGGAACGTTTAGTTCTTGTGACCCCCTAGGGCAGCAGTTCTCAACCTGTGGGTCTCGACCCCTTTGGCGGTGGAACGACCCTTTTCACAGGGGTCGCCTAAGACCATCCTGCATATCAGATATTTACATTAGGATTCATAACAGGAGCAACATTACAGTTATGAAGTAGCAACGAAACTAATTTTATGGTTGGGTCACCACATGAGGAACTGTATTTAAAGGGCCAGAAGGTTGAGAACCACTGCCCTAGGGTGACTCTCAGGGCCTTGGTTTGCCCTCTGTTAAGGGGAAAAGTCGCCTGCTCCACCTCCCTCCCAGAACTGGAGAGGAGCTGCCCCTTAAGCTTGTTTAGTGAGTTCCAGCCTCAGGACTGTTCCCTCGCTCACCCTGTGGCCAATTCCTCCTCCTCCTCCAGGTTCCTGCTCAAATGTCACTTCTCCAGAGAGGTCTTCCCTAAACTCCCTGGTCAAAGTCACCCTCCCTCCCTCCACTCATTCATTCAGTCATTCATTCCTGTCATGCCATCATAGGACACCTACTGTGTCACAGGTGTAGGTACTCTCAGGGCTCACAGGTGGCTAATGGATAAACACATCAACATCATCATTTCTGATGTGTCAGGAAAGTAAGGTGTGATAGGAAGGACAGGGTGAAATTGGAACCTCTGGAAGGAGATGGTGGGGTTGGTCACGCTGAAGGGGATAGGAGAGCGAGGGGAGGGAACAGCTAGGGGGAAAGTGCTCTAGGGAACAGCAGGTGCAAAGGCCCTGAGGCCAGATCACACCTGAACCAGTGAAGGAGTGTCTGACTGGAGGAGAAAGATGGATGGGAGTAACTGGTGGGGACTTTGTGGGACCTGGGTTTCAGGGAGGAGTTTGGACTTTGCTGAGTGGGGCGGGACCTGGGAGGGTTTGGGGTGCTTCTCCCATCCAGCTCTGTCTCTTCCGCCAGACAGGAGACCACCCCAAACACAAAGCTCCCCATCCCCCTGGTCAACCATCTCTAGTTCCAGAGCCACATTCTGATTCTTAGTAATAAAGGCCTTGCGTTATTTTTATGTTAAAATACGAATCTGTCTGGGCAGAAGCTGTGGCACATTGTTGTGGTGTTTTCCCTGAGGAAAAAACAGGTATTTCCAAGTGCCACCCACAGACGAAGCGGAAAGCAGGGGGTCAGGGAGCCAAGGGGCCTCACGCTCCTCGCTTCCCCTGGGTGCCTGGACCAGCCGCACCAGAGCTGGGACTCTACTGCCATCTTTGTGTGCGGGGAACCTGGGGTGGGATTCTTTATTTATGTATATATTTCCTGAATTTTCACAATTCCCTGCAGTGGGTTTGTGATACTCATAGTCTAAGTGAGGGAGATGGACAAAAGTGTTACCCGGAAGTAAAACAGATTTCCCAAATGCAAGCGGAGCAGGAGGGACCCTCTGCACGTCCAGGGCGCGGGGTGGGGTGGGGGGGCTGGGGTGGGGGGTGGGCAGGCGTGCATTGAGGGGCGGCCTCCAGGCGCCGAGTTATTCTGGTTTCTCGTCGCCTGCGCAGCTGGAGAGCTTTTTATAAACAGGACGCGACTCTCCCCCATCCCCGCCTCCTGGGGGCCATCAGGGGAATCGGATCCTCCTGGGGAGCGGAGGGAGCTGGGGCCGGGACCTGGAATGCGGGCCCGGTGTCTCCTTCTCCCGCCCCCCGCAATGCTGACTCCCCCGCCTCAATATTTGTGGGGGAGGACGATGGAGCATCTCAGCCCCCAGAGTCTCACTCTGAGTCTTGTTTCCCCAGGAGGGGGCGGGGGGGGGTGCCTCTCCGGCCCTGGCTTTAACTCAGGAACCAGGGAGGGGAGAAGCCTAAGCCCCGCTGGTACCCTCCTTGCTTCCGGCTCTTTTATCGTAGGCTTTGCAGGTTTAGGGGTCAGGCGGTTTCTCTGCCCTACTTCTGCCTTTTCTTAGAATTTTTCTCTGGAAAATGGGGGTCGGCAGGAGAGGGGTTGTTGGAGCGTCCATCAGCCCCTTCCCTTTTTCTGGGAATTGGTGGGGAGGGTGACTCTACTGGTCCCTGTTTATTTCATCTCAGATACCGGGTGGTGCATCTATCAGCCAGGCCCACTTTGGGGTCTTTCATCTCAGAAAATGGACGGGGTCGCCCAACTCCTATTTCCGCTTTTTCTTCTTTTGTACTTTTTTGAACCCTATAAATAGGAGGTATGGAGCAGTTCTCCACCTCTGTTTCTCTTTTCTAAAATTGGAAAGGGGCGGGGGGGAGTGACAGGAGAACACAGCTTCCTAGTCTGGGTAGGGGCCGCCAGTGTCCCACCTGGGGAGAGCGGTGGTGGGGAAGGGGAACGCCCCCCAAACACCCGGACCCCCTCCAGGCCTCGGCCTCCTGTCACCCACAGCTCGGGAGCCACTAATGGACCGAAGGAGGAAGATAATAATCACTGATTGGCTGCTCGGCCCGTCGCTCGGATGCTTAGGCCAGTTAGAGGTTGCTGCGCAGCCCCGCCTCCATGACACTTACAAGGGGCGGAGCCAGAAGGCGATTCCTCCCCTCCTATTACGTTCCCGCTCGCTATTGGATGTCCACACTGGGCCCCGCCCCATTTGTGCGTCAATCTGCGCAAGAGTCCCGCCCCTTCCAGCTCTGAGGGCGTCAGTGGGCACCTCTTCTAGCGCGGCTCCTCCCCAGGATGGCGTCACGGCCGTGTCTGCATGTGAGGCCCCGCCCCGCTCTTTGCAGGACGTCACCGCAGACTGCAGGGGCTCCAGCTGCTGCCGCGCAGCCCTCCATCCTCGCACGGGAGGCTCGTCACCGTCACCGCCAAAAAAGTCGCCGTTGTTGTGGTCGTCACCGCATCGGTGCAGGGCAAGGTGAGCTCCTGGGAGGCCTGGTGCGCTCCCGCTGAAAGCATCTAAATAAACTTCATTTGGATGATGGATTGACAGGGTTAGGGGACGAGGTTGGTGGGGGTTAAATGGAGGGAGGATGAGGTAGTCGCCGGCCTGGGGAGGAGTAGGGCCCTGGCTCCCCTCACCTGCCCTACCCTCATCCCTCTTACCCCCGCCTCTGCGGCGGAGGGGGAGGGGAGGCGAGTGCCTTGCGGGAAACTGCGTGCGCGTGCGCGGGGTGTGCACACGCGTGTGCGCGCCCGCCTGTGTGGGCGGGTCTGTATGCACCCTTGCGTGTACCTGAATATGCTCATGTGACTCCGTGTGGGTCCTGACCCAAATATGTCCTTGCTGCACGCTTGTGGAGAGAAACGCATGGATTGTGCGTGTGCGTGCACGGCTGTGTGCATACGTACAGGGGAATGCTTGCCTGTGTGGGTTACGTACACACACCTGCATGTGTGAAGGGCGCCGCGTGCACGTCTGGATTTGCACCTTTGTATATGCATGCCGGTGTGCAGACAGGTATCTGCGTCTCTGTTCTGTGTTCCGAGTGTGTTCGACCCTCATGTGCACGCACGTTTACCGATGTGTGCCCTGCTGTGTGCACGTGAGCGTGTGCACGCTCCACCCCTATCACGTGATGCAGCTGCCTCAGCTTGAGCTCCCCCAGCCTGGAATTGGGACTGCAGATTTGCATCCAAGCGGACTGTCCAGGTGTGCCCGCTTTGGGTTCTGAGGAACATAAATGATAGATGGGGGGCGGGGCCGGCCGCAGTTACCCCCTCCGGGCACAGCCCTAGGGTGTAGGGTTACAGCCTGACCTGGGGCACAGGTCTACTGGAGGGGGCTGCAGGGGTGTCCCCATCCCGGCTTCTCTGAACTCCTTCCTGAAATACACTCCCCTTCCCCCACCTTTCAAGGTCACATCAGGCCCTCTGCCCTGGGTTCCACAGTTAGTAGTACTGGGGCTTCTGGTGGAACGCTAGTTCCTCTCTGTGGCTCTAGAGTTTTCTCCATCCTGTGCCTGGGCCTGGGGATGGCAGAGGACCCCTCACACTAGCCTGTGCCCCACATTCCCAGATGGCGTCAGCCACAGACTCTCGCTATGGACAGAAGGAGTCCTCGGACCAGAATTTTGACTACATGTTCAAGATCCTTATCATTGGTAACAGCAGCGTGGGCAAGACATCATTCCTCTTCCGCTATGCAGACGACTCCTTCACACCCGCCTTTGTCAGCACTGTGGGCATAGACTTCAAGGTCAAGACTATCTACCGCAATGACAAGAGGATCAAGCTGCAGATCTGGGTGGGTCCAGCTGGGGGGCTCCTAACTCCATCACTCTCCCTCCCTTCCCGGAAAAAGAGCCCCAGCTTTGCCCATCTCTTTCATTCATTCACACAACTGGGCATTTACCAAGTGCCTACTGTGCATCCAAGGCACAGAAGGGAGAGCCCCTCCTCTTCCACTGGAGCTTAGTCAGTGCTCTCCAGGGCTGAGGGATGAGCCAATGCTGGGCTCTTCCTACACCTCACATCTGCAGGAGCATCACTGGGCTGGTGCCTCAGTTTCCTTGTCTGTAAGTTCTTCCATGTGAGTCTGAGGTTTCACCAGATGTTGGCCCCCAACCTCATTGCTTGGGACAGGCACCTCCCCAGGGTCACCTGGCTGCCTCCCACAACCCCACAGAGATCTGAAGGAGCCTCCGTGGGCTCCCACCTCACACAGGGTAAACCCCCAACCCCACCCTGGCATGGGAGACTCTGCCTGGTCTGTCCCTGTGATACCTCCACCCTGTCTCCCTCCATTGCTGCCTCTGCCTTACTATTCCTCAAACTCACCAAGCAGTCCACGTCAGCATCTTTGGCCTGGCTGTGCCCTCTCACTTCCTTCAGGCCCACACTTTATTTTCCTCCTCAATCCTTACCGCCCTCTGACATAGTATACATTTTCTTCCATGTGTTTGTTTCCTGCACTGAGCTGTCAGTCCCACAAGGGCAGTGATTTTTATCTACTTTTACAGCTGTGCCCCCAGTGCCGTGTGGTATATGGCACAGGGCAGTGCCCTGTACACGTGTATTGATGAATGAGGGGACAATTCTGCAGGTGCCGGACTCTATAGGATGATTGAGCACCACATTCTTGGTGCAGGTGGCTGGCTGGTTCTCCCTGGCCCCCTGTGCCTCTGGGCAAGCTCTGGGTCTTGCGAGAGCTGGACTGGATTGTCTCAGAGCTCATTTCCACGGAAGAACTCCCATGTGGGTCCTCTCTGATCCTGTCTCTTCTTCCTCAGGACACAGCAGGGCAAGAGCGGTACCGAACCATCACCACAGCCTACTATCGGGGTGCCATGGGCTTCATCCTCATGTATGACATCACCAACGAGGAGTCCTTCAACGCTGTGCAGGACTGGTGAGCACCCCCTCACCCCCTCTCTCAGACTGTCTTCTGAGCTGGGTTTGTTGCAAAGCCTGGGGGGTAGGCTGATGAGGGATCCCTAGTCCCCTGACAGATATATAACTAACAATATTGGGGGCCCAGACCTGCTGTCAATCTATAATCATTAAAACAGCAGGTCTGTCCCTGTGATACCTCCACCCTGTTCTGTCTCCCTCCACAGCTGCCTCTGCCTCATTATTCCTCAAACTGTCTTCTGAGGAGTAATGAGGCTCAAAATAACAGGGGAAAAAGATTTCAGGTGGAAAAATGAAACGAAACATATGGAAAAAAATCTGAGGGTGTGGGGGGAGAACAGACAATATAAGGACAGTTAACAGGTTTAAGGACTTACACATTTACATTTCTGCCCAGAAGTAATGATACATTTTAAGAAAATTTCTGATTTTGCTGAGGAGAGAGAAATTCTCTCTGGGGGCAGGGATCTGGGAAGGTGAAAGAGGTTGCTTGAAAGAGAGATTTTGAAGAGCGGGGAACTGCTGAAACAGACACCCACAGACAGCAGAGTGTTTCTGGCAGGACAAAGGCTGGAGGAGAAACCGAACCTGCCAGGTTCAAGGGAAATGGGGAGCTGAGGGCTGGAGAGGGGGAAGGAGTGGAGCTCAGATCCTCCAAGCCCTAACCTGCCCATTGCCTTCTCCTCCAGGTCAACCCAGATCAAGACCTACTCGTGGGACAATGCCCAGGTGCTGCTGGTGGGGAACAAGTGTGACATGGAGGATGAGCGAGTGGTGTCGTCCGAACGCGGGCGGCAGCTGGCTGACCACCTTGGTGAGTGCCCGGAGGGGCTGGACACCTACAGGCTAGAGGAGGGACGCTGAAACCCTGAGGGGAAGGGCCACACCCAAGGCCTCACAGCAAAGCCAGATGAGGTCTGGATGCAAATCCAATCTACTCTTTTGGCAAATTGGCCGTGACCCAGGAACCATGTACGGTGGGTCTTGGTAGATTCATTCTGACACCTCCACTGCCCAGCCTCATGCTGGGTGTTGCTGGCCTCCAGCTTTGTGGGATAAAAGCACTAGGGCTGGGGAAGTCCAGTGGGGATTGCCTCAAAGGCTTCGTGGAGGAAAGACATTGCATCCGGTTAAGACAGGGTGGTCCTTTAGGCAGAGGAAACAACTTGGGCAAAGGCCAGAGTGGGAGAGACCCTATGCATTTTGGCAAATGCTTTTACACAGTTGCAACATGAGGGTAATTGGGATGAAATGTGGCCAATGATGCAGGGTCTGACCACATGCTGAGGAGCTGGGCTCTTCCTCGGGCAATAGGGAGCCACAGAACGTGAGCAGCAGGCATGGCTGGATGTGAATGTCAGATAGCACCAGGGACAGTGTATGGGACGGGGCCAGGTGGTGAGTCTTACCAGGGCCTCGGGGACGATGAGAAGGGGAGTTTTTTGTTTTATTTTTAAATTTTTTATTTAATTGATTTTAGAGAGATAGAGAAACAGCACTTGGTTGCCATTTATTCATTGGTTGTTTCTTGTATGTGCCCTGACTGGGGATCAAGCCCACAACTTTGGCATAGCAGGACAACACTCTAACCAGCTGAGCGAACCAGCCAGGGCCAAGAAAGGGACAGTTTTAGGGTGAAGAAAGGAGTGCAGAAAACACAGCGCTGACCCAGTTAAATGTCACTTCCCCACGTTACTTGCCAGTGCCTTTATGGTGCAATAGGCACTAGGAACCTCCAGTGATTTCTGACCTCAGAGAAGTGTCTTGGGGAGCGGGGGGCCCAAGGTCTTCACCCCTTTCTTCCCTGACCACAGGGTTTGAGTTCTTTGAGGCAAGTGCCAAGGACAACATTAATGTCAAGCAGACCTTTGAGCGCCTGGTGGACGTCATCTGTGAGAAGATGTCCGAGTCGCTGGACACAGCTGACCCTGCTGTCACAGGCGCCAAGCAGGGCCCACAGCTCACGGACCAGCAGGCGCCCCCACACCAGGACTGCGCCTGCTGAGAGCTGGCCCACCCATCCCCGCCCTGCCCTCCCCAACCACCTCCAGGCCCCTCCTGACCACGGGCACAAGACCCTGCCCCGACTAAGCCCTAGCCCGTCACCCTTATTTATTATTGTAGCTATTTATTTATTTATTTATTGGCGATATCCCCTGGGGGCTTGGCACCACCACCCCCTGCACCCCACCCTGTACATACAGCCCTGTCCCTGCTCTGCCGTGGCGTGTTGTTGCCCCGCGAACTCACCGCTCATCCTCTTCTCCAGACCCCACCTTTTTAAAAATTCACCCCATCTATAGCTCTGTTTTGAAGAGGGGGCCAGATGACACCTGAGGGCAGGGTGACCAGGTGATGTAAGGTAGCCAGGCCTGTCAGCCCCTTTGGTCACAGTGGGATCTCAGCATGGACCACAGGATGGGTCAGAGCCTGACAGTGGCCCACCTGGCTCCTGGCCCCAAGTTTTACCTTCTTATTTTTAAGCGGGGGCTGCAGTGGTTACTCACGAACCTGGGAATACCCCCACAGACCTGACGTCATGCGTGTCAAATGTGCTCCCAGTTCTCCCAGGAGATGTCATGACAACACTACACACACCCAATAAAATGGATGGACGATGCTATGTCTATGAGTGCTGCCTGCCAGCGCTGGCTATGGTCATCTGTGAGACTTTCAGTTACAGAGAGAATTTAATGAAGTTTCCACAGCCCACAATCAGAACATGACCCTGGTGCTGCCCAGGCTAGGCCCTGCTGAGTGGACAGGCAATGTCCCCACCTTTGTTCCAGGGCCCAGAGCCCAGCCCAGCAGTTTTGAGGGCTTGGGACTGGCTGGGTGGCCGGGGCCCAGTGCTGAAAATGGGACATCTTGGTCATAGAGGCTCCCATTGAGAAGACCTGGGGGATGACTGTCCATCTTCATGGTTATGTTCCAGATGGGAAGACTAAGGCCTGGTAGTGGGCTTGGAAGGGGCAGCCCAGCCAGATGCCCAGGAGTGGGGGTGGGGCTGGAATTCAGCCCAGGACCCTGCCCTGCTTTGGGCCCATCCCCCTTCCCACCCAGGTGGGTGGTCAGCTGGAATCAGTTTTGCCTCATCTGGCATCTAGTCGAGGGGGTGGGGCAACTCCGTCCTCACCGGGCCACCCAAGCTGGGGTGTCAGGGTGCATGGGGTCTGTCCACACAATAGGGTCTGGTCACACGCCACCTTCATCCCTTCCTCCGGCTCCTCACCAAGCCCTCCCTTGTCTGGGGGTTGAAGTCAGCCTCACTGAAAAGATGAGGCAGGGGCCTGGCTAAGGTCCTGTTGGACCGCTGAGAGGGGCTCGGTCTTCCCCCTGCTGGTGACCAGCTTCCCGCCTGCCAACCGTGGGGTGCGGATTGTCAAGGGCACAGAAGGCCCTCACCCTGGAGGGGAGCTGTACTGCCATTTGGGGCTCACATGTGTGGGCCCTGAGAAGTTTCCTGGGTGCCTGGTCTGCCCACTGCGTTCACCCGGTACTTCAGGTAGGAAAGGTACGTGTCCCAGCCCAGTGTCAGGCCATTGATGTAGGTGACTCGGAACTGGGGGGGCACAAAGAGGAAGTTCACCAGCTGCGCCGCAGGCCACACGCACCAGTCAGCCTGTGGGGAGGGACAGAGCGTGGTAAAGGGTGGGGCCAGGAAGCCGTGGGGGGAGGAGAATGAACGGGGCGGGTGGGGCTTGGGGTACCATGCCCACCTTGTAGAATTCCCAGAACTTGTCCCGAAGCTCCTGGCAGCTCTCCTCCAGGGACTGGCCCTCTAGGCTGCCAATACCTGGGGAAGAGATGAGAGTGTCAAAGGTTAGGGAGTCCTGATGATGGAGCCGGAGGGGAATGACCGGAGAGACAAAATGTCCGGGCGGAGGAACCTGACATTTAAAGGCCTGTAGGCGTGTGGTGGGTGTGGAGAAACCACAGGTGGGGGGGGGGGGGGGTCACAGTGACAGGTCCACCTGAAGGACAGGGACACACCCTTCCTGATGCTGAGGCTGTTTTATTACCCGTCCTTCACCGATGAGGAAGCTAAGCCTGTGGGGTGGGGAACAGGTGAGGACTTTCTTCCTAGAGGCAAAGGCTGGGGTGACTGACCCATCGGCTCTTCTTCCTTCAGGCTATTCCTCTACCTGCTGACTCCTTCAAGTCTCAGCCGAGTTCCTCTCCTCTGGGAACCCCTTCGCCCCTTCCCCCCAGGGCAGCACCATCAGACCCTGTCCCCATCCCTCCTACACTTAGCACCATTGTCTGTGCTCCTGCCACTCACACCTGCCCCCAGAGGTCTGTCCTGTGACCCAGCCTCCAGTCCAGGACCACCCACCAAGGGAGGTGCATCCAAAATGTCCCTGGAGTCCTCCCTAACACAAGGCTGGCTCTGCCCCTCCTGGCCTTTGAGGGTTTGCAAAGCTCAAGCTCATGCGGCTCCTTACCCAAGAAGTACCAGACACCCAGCAAGGGAGAGGCCACCAGCTGGTCGACGAGGACCTTCCTGAGGACGTTTGGAAGTCCACGGAGGCCAGATGCAGGGAACAGGCGGTCCAGCCAGAGGTACCAGTAGTGTAGGAAGGGGCCCATGCTGCAGCCCACAGCAAACATGCTCACTGAGGGCAGTCCAAGGGGGTGGGGGGGGCCGGTCAGTACCGTAACCTCCCGTCCACTCTCCCTGGGTAAGCCCAGCGCCCCTCCAGGGACCACCCAGATGGTCTCCCACTGCGAGGCTCCATCCCAGGGGCTGCTTTTACATCTCACCGCCCTGCAGAGGATTCTACCATCGCCCCTATTTCCAGAGAAGGAAACCGAGACCAGGGCACACGCCCAGGCTGCCGGGGTCCACCCGCGGGTGCAACGTCCCAGGCTGAGTGCTCATCCCTCAATGCAGGAGGCAGGGAAGCAGACGAAGGGGTGGGCGGGACGAGACCCGAAGGGTGGGCGTGGATGGACACGCTCCGAGTTGGAGGAAATGGGGTCTGGGGAAGGGATGGGGTGAGGCCCGGGTGGGAGGGAGACCCGGATAGCGGCTGTCAGGTTATGGGGTGCTCGCGGAGATCAAGGGTCCTGCCGGGGACTCGGCCCGCGGGTTAGTGGTCATGGCCCGCGGGTAGGGTCCAGGGGTTTCCAAATCTGGGGTCGGGTCAAAGGTTCCCTGGGGTCAAGGACTAGCAGCCTTCTCACCTGAGCGCCGGGGGTCGAACTTCTGGCCGGGCCGGGCGCGGATCTCCCAGGACTGGCGCGCGCCGTCCCCGGCCGCCATGAGCACGCCACAGCCCAGCGTGTTGGTGAAGAGCAGCGCGCGGCCTTGGAACATGGGCTGCCCCGCTGCCCACAGGCCGCGCAGCCAGCGCCAGCCACCCGACGCCATCGCGCGCGGGGATCCAGGGACCGGCGCTCCGGGCCACCCTGCCCGCGGCGACCAATCCTGCGACCCGGCTGCGCCCGGGATGAGCTGACTGCTCGGTGCTAGACTTTGCCCGCCCTGAAAGGTGTTATCCAATGAAAGGCCGACATCCTACCCCTTGGCCAATCCCTAAACGAAGACAGGCATAGCCGTATGGACCAATCACAAGCGTCGCACCACACCACGCTTGCTAATTGCTGACGTATCACTCGCGCTTCCCCGCCCCTTTCTGCACTGGCCTAAGGGTAGCTGTCGTCACATTATTTTTTTTTTAAATATATGTTTTTATTGATTTCAGAGAGGAAGGGAGAGGGAAAGAGAGATAGATGAGAGGGAATCATTGATCAGCTGCCTCCTGCACGCCCCCTACTGGGGATTGAGCCCGCAACCCAGACATGTGCCCTTGGCTGGAGTCGAACCCGGGACCCTTCAGTCCACAGGGCGACGCTCTATCCACTGAACCAAACCAGCTAGGGCCTGTCGTCACATTCTTACCAGCTCAGACCGCACTGACCAATCTCAGGCCACCATTACTCCTGTCATCCCGCCTCCCGCATTGAGCTGGCCAATCTTAGACAGGCATCACGCTCTATGGTTTTAGCCCTCCCTATTTCCAGATTGTCGCGAGATTCCTGAGCAGGCATTCAGACCAGTGGCCATGTCAGCTACCGGGGCGGAAGTCTAATCCCACAAAGACTCACGGTGTTGGAGGTGGGGCTACAGTTCCGCTACGCGCAGCCGCGTGGGAGCCGCAGGTCCAGAACTTGACCTTGGTCTTGGCTGTTAGCAGGGCTTCTGACCTTAGTTCCACAATAGTAATGAGAGTGGTAGGCACTGTTCCAAGCACATTACGTGCAGTAACTTATTTGGCAGCAACTCTGCTGCTGCACAAATAACTGTATACCCGTGTTACTTCCCGTGTTACTTACTGTAAGGGAAAATGTGAGTTTCAACGGAAACCTATGCATTCACCTACAGGAATAGGGTGTCACAAACTACAGCCTGCGGGCCAAATCCTGTCACTGCCTCTTTTTGTGAAGCCCACGAACTAAGAATGTTTCTTACATTTTTGCATTGGTCAGGGAAAAATCAAAATATGGGGCGCCAGAACCGGTTTGGCTCAGTGGATAGAGCGTCGGCCTGTGGACTCAAGGGTCCCAGGTTCGATTCCGGTCAGGGGCATGCACCTTGGTTGCGGGCACATCCCCAGTGGGGGGCGTGCAGGAGGCAGCTGATCGATGTTTCTAACTCTCTATCCCTCTCTCTTCCTCTCTGTAGAAAATCAATAAAACATATTAAAAAAATAATATGGGGCATGTGAGAATTATTGAAATTCAAACTTCTGTGCCCATTCGTTTGTGTTGCTTACTGTCATTCCAATGAGGTGTTTCAACAAAGACTTTGGCCTGTAAAAACTAAACTATTTATTATATGGCACTTTACCAAAAAAAATTGCCCTTCGGCATATTCTGATTCTGATTCTATGGAAACTTTTGTTAACTTAAAAACATTTAATCCTGTAAAGAATTTTTGTGAGTTTATTTGAGCCAAACTGTCGACAATTGCCAAGAAGCAGAGTCAGCGGATTGAGATAATGCTCCAGAGAATGGCAGTTCTTTTCATCTATTGTATACATTGCAATCAAAGGAGGGGACATAGATGGGTTACAAGAAATACCTTGGTGATAGACTAGAGAGGAAGGAGAAAGCAAAGAGGGGGGAACCTCTGGGATTGGATAAAAAGTAAAATGATAGACACATACTTAGGTGGGTGCAGATAATTAACAGTCACCAATTAACATGATAACAAAAACAATGAAGGAACTTGTGGTATCTGTCCTGGCGCCCAGGCACATTAGGTTGTGCCCCAAGGGGTCCAGAAAAAGGGAAGTTACAAGTTACCCAGACATTTCAAGGGTATGTTATCTTAGATGCAAAAAGACAGTTAGGCTCAGTTAAGGTAAAGGTTGACCTTGCCAGTGAAGATACTGGCCTAGGAGGTGACTACCCACCATAACTGCTTTTAGTTAAAAGTTTAATTCAAACCATCCTTTGTGGTTACTTTAGGTCTTTGAGTTTGCAAGCCCACCTGCAGACCTTCCCTGAGCTTGTCAGGTTAGCATGCGGCCCCTTTCGTCCACATTTTTTATAAACTGTAGTTATAACTAGTAACAGCAAAAAATAATTGTTAGGTCGCCGAAGGAGGAACGCACGAGGCCAGAGTAGTGAGGGATTTTATTCGATCATCCGCACACCAGATGGGTGAGCTTGGATGGCTCCAGCCCCAGTGAGGGGAGTCAGCGGCTTTTAAAGGACTTTTGGCGGGATTTTTCCCTGGGCGGAGACTTCTTTATGCATACCCAGAGGGGAGAGAATGGAATGTGGTCACCACAAGTGCAATGTGGTCTTCAGCAAAGGGAATGTCCATAGTGAAATAACCTGAAAAGTCGGTTTCTGGGGGAGGGGTATCAATTCAACTGCTGGGTCAAAGCTAACAATTTTTGCCTATGGACATGCAAATGAGTTCTGCCAGGTGGAAAGACATTCTTCCCCCAGTTATTTTTGCTGTACTTTGCATATCCATTTTAATATGTTTGTTCTTTGGACCTCCTTTAAAATGGTGTTAACACCTGACCATTTGTCCTCATTTATAATAAGTTAACAATTTTAATCACATGTTCATGTTTACATCTGTTTGAGAGACACAATTTTACCTTATTTTGGTAAAATTATCCTTCAGCACTTAACTGCTGTCAAGTACCTCAGCCTGGTATTACAGACTTTAGATTTTACTGCATCTTGGTGGAAATCTTCCAACATGGTTAAAAAAGTCAAATTTTGGTTCACAGGACAGTCAGGTAAACTTCATCAACAACCACATTCAAGAAACCAGGTTTCACTTTGGGGAGCCGATGTTTACAAAATCTTCACAGGAAAACTGGTTCATAACTGCCTTGCAGGTTCAGTCTTACAGGTCGATCCCGGCCCACCACGATCCTTGTAATATTTGAGGGATGTAGGCAATAGGCCTCTGTGACCCATCCTCAGCACAGTCAACGTTTAATGGAAACGGTTACTGAATTTCCCCAGGGCAAACGGAATGGAGAGAGGAGGGAAGAGGCTATAAGAACAAAGAACTGTGTACCTGAGCCAGCATCGTGGTGGAAATCCCCGAGGCGCCGCCTCAACTACACAGGGGTAAGTGGAGACAACTAGAAAAGGGCTCAGCCCATTTTTAAAAAATAACCCAACAAGACCTAGGAAACTGTAAACCCCATAGCACTCAGCCAATGAGGAACCGGAGGAGGGACTCTCACACCTTAGGGATAAATAGGCTGTGGTCCCTACTCCATGTGTGCCTGTACACCTGCTCTCGAGAACAAATTAAAGACCTCATTTTCGCCATACTTCTGTCTCCTAGTTCACTGTTTTAATTTGGTCAGGTGAGCATTTCTCACAGGGGCTACCAAGAAGAAAGAAGCCTTGCCTGGCCAGCATGGCTCAATGGTGGAGCATCAACCTGTGAACCAGGAGGTCATGGTTCTAGGTTCTATTCCTGGTCAGGGCACACGCCTGGGTTGCGGGCTCGGTCCCCAGTAGGGGGCATGGAGGAGGCAGCTGATGATTCTTTCTCATCAATGTTTTTATCTTTTTCTCCCTCTCCCTTCCTCTCTCTGAAATCCATTTAAAAAAAAAGAAGAAAGTAGCCCTGGCTGGGTAGCTCAGTTGATTAGAGCATTATCCCAAAATGCAAAGGTTGTGGGTTCTATCCCCAGTGAGGGGACATACAAGAATCAACCAGTGAACACATAAATAAGTGGAACAAATCAATGTTATTTTTTTTCTCTCTAATCAATAAAATATTTTTTTTTTAAAAAGAATTTGCGACCTAACCGGTTTGGCTCAGTGGATAGAGCGTTGGCCTGCGGGCTGAAGGGTCCCAGGTTCGATTCCAGTCAAGGGCATGTGCCTTGGTTGCAGGTACATCCTCAGTAGCAGGTGTGCAGGAGGCAGCTGATTGATGTTTCTCTCTCATCGATGTTTCTAACTCTCTATCCTTCTCCCTTCCTCTCTGTAAAAAAATCAATAAAATATATTTTTTTAAAAATGTGCCAAGAGGCATAGATACTGCAAGGTGAAACCTGGTCCAGTTTCTCATCTTTAGTTAACCAATGATAGAGGCTTTTCAAAGTCCAACCTGAGATTCCTTACAGAAACTTCCAGCAAAGCAAACTGAATGCCTGCTGCATCCTGGTAAATTATCAGGGAAAATCTAATTAGACCTGCCAAGGAAGTTCTTTCTTTGATATTCTTTTTTAAAAATATATTTTATTGATTTTTTTTATTTTATTGATTTTTTACAGAGAGGAAGGGAAGGGATAGAGAGTTAGAAACATCGATGAGAGAGAAACATCGATCAGATCAGCTGCCTCCTGCACACTCCCTACTGGGTATGTGCCCGCAACCAAGGTACATGCCCTTGACCAGAATCGAACCTGGGACCTTTCAGTCTGCAGGCCAACGCTCTATCCACTGAGCCAAACCGGTTAGGGCTGAGAGTGCTAACTTTATATGAAGAGGGCAGTACATATATTTCAGACCCTAAGGCATTATTACAGGTGCTTCATGGTTTGCTCAATTAATGCCTAGGTAAAAAAATAAAATAAAATAATGCCTGGGTAATTAACAAACATTCATTAACATTTACCAGATGTTAGTGGCAAATGAGGCAAATGAGGTGAACAAAAGGGACATGATGGATATGACAATTTGGGGTAGTTTTCGTGGCTCGCCACATAGTCCTACATACCTCTCCAGCACCACTCACCTGCAGAAGTTGCCATGGATGCCAGCTAATGTTTTTTCTCCCTTCCCAAACAGATACAGCTTGGTCTATAGCTGCACTGCCCCATCATAAGGAGACGATATTCTTTTTTTAATATATATATTTCTTTTTTTAAAAAATATATTTTATTGATTTTTTACAGAGAGGAAGGGAGAGAGTTAGAAACATCGATGAGAGAGAAACATCCATCAGCTGCCTCCTGCACATCTCCCACTGGGGAT